TACGTAAGTATAATAACAATATGACAATAGTCGGAAGTGTTTCCGCGGTGGTCGCTAATTTTGAGTGCCGGTCAGGCCGACCAGCGTGACGAGATCCCCCAATGAAAAGAAGCACTGTGGCGGTCTTGCTAATCACCGTGGCGGTGTCAGACCGGTGTGGCGGCAAATCGAAGCACTGTGGCAGGACCGCCACGCTGTTTACATCCTGGGGAGAACACTGCATGTTATGATCAACATTTTTGAAAGTGAAGTTATGTAGGTTTAATTTTGTGTGAAGTAAACATAGCTGACCTTGGGCGTTTGTATTAATAATGCAAAATATGTAATTAGATATTGCCAAACTAAATGGTAGCCACATTTTAAGGAGTGGGGGTATTGCACTGCACATGTTTAAACTTTTGGTAAGCAAATAATGGTATTTTACACACATTTTATACGTCACTTGACTAAGGTACTAATACTTAACATACTGATGCGTGACAACCACTACTCGTTAAATTTGAGCAAAAGATTGACCATTAGAAATACTATGAAGATGTCTCCATAAAATTTGTGATTGCTTTTTTCTATTAACTGTAAGTGTGTGTTTGTTTTCTGTAAATTTCCCTATAGAATTTTTTCTTCTGAACTCCCTTTGTAGAGTTGTAATTTTAAAGGATGGTCATTGTCGTGCTTTGTCATGCTCAGTAATGTTTGTGTTATTTGTTGAATCTGAATGGCTTGTGTGATATTACTAGAATCATAGCTTGGCAGTAGAGAAGTGCTGTAACGTGAGAGTAATGTTATAATAGAGTAGGCTACATTTGTATTTACATGTACTTGTATATACATAATTTAACCTACCCATCAAAGACTCTGTATGTATGAACTCTTTGCTCCTGGAGAACAAAAACTTTCTTGACAAGATCTTGAATATTTTCTTCACTCTGAAACCATACATAAACAGTCTAAAGAATTAATATTTGTGGCCATGCCCACAGAATGATACATAATGATCTATGGTATACGCAATATAGGTATCTACTAAAATACTATGTAAGCTCAAACACCATAGTGTAAATTGTAAGAACAGAGAATGTGAAATGTTTTTATGGTTACATCCTAGTAATGCATGTATTAGGGACGACGTCAAAAGATCGATGTCGGATAAAAAACTTATTTGCTTTAGTTTGGGGGTGGGGGGTTTTGACCTCAAAAAGTTTCCATCCTACAAAAATTATTTTATTTTTTAATGAAGTCAAAAAAATCTTGGAGTATTTGTAGTTCGTTTTTTTTCTATCCAGTCATAGACAAAAATAACAGAAAATGAAAAAAACACACATCCAAGACGAGAAAATGGTTTGGTCCGAGTGTAAATATGTGCGTCAAATAAGGTCAATTTTTGGGCATGGACCTAGAGCATGCGCAGAACCCAGAAAAGTAGTTTGCGCATGCGTATATTCCCCTTCATTATTACAACTAAGTGCTATGCCATACTACTGTTCGATTAACGATTTGTATTTAATGGTGAATGTAGTCTGACGCCATGATCAATATTTATAAATTAAGTTTCAGTGGGGGGGGGGGTTTTGGAAAAAACTAAAAGAATTAAGTTTTTTATCCGACATCGATCTTTTGACGTCGTCCCTTACTTTACCACAATTGCTGTTATATATTACAGTGAATATACCCGGTACTTCCATGCCTCTGGAAGCTGTATTTCTAGGTATCTGAGATTTTTGAAAGTACATGTACTGATATCTTGAGCTTATATATAAACATTTATTATCAGTACACAACTACAATAATATCACATTGGCTCACATATGATGCAGGTTCTCTATGTTGGAATTTCTATAATTTTTAGATATATGGAACCCAAATACAAAATATGTTGATTTTCTGTTAATGTATTAATTTCTACTCTTAAGAGGTGAAATGCTAGCCTCAGTCCAGAAATAAGTATTTGTTACACAAAATTGAAAATAAATTTAGCATAATTTATTCTACTAATACCGGGGGTATTATGTATAAATAGATCAATTTGAATTTTATAAAACAAAAACAAAAAAACAATCAATAAAATATGCATCCAAACTTAACACACTCACATGGTTAAGGTTGACACACCAATCATTGCTATCTAAAGACTAGCATGAGTACTGGTTGCTATTAAATATTACCCTCATTTGTTTTCATGTTGAAATTAAAGTTGGTTGGTCTGGGCACATTGCCCAATTCTTATAATGCTTATCAAAACATAAACCCAAACTTGCCTCAATAAAGTTTATAGTATTGACATTTCACTTATTTTTCAAAGTTTTTGAATTGTTTTATTTTTTATTTTCTTGTTAACAAAACACTGCATTATTTTTGTTCCAAAATGCCACCCTACACTTTAGCTCTACTTTAATACAGTGAAATGGATAAAGTTGTACTTTAGATTATAAACATACTTACAACAATTTGTAAATACTATGAGGTTATTATGAGGATACCGAAAAGTATGGACGAGGACAGTACAGCGGGAGTATCGATCAACGCGCAGTGGAGGTCAATGCGACTTCTTTGTATAGGATCAGGTCAAACTTTGGTGGCTGCCATGTTTGTTTTTATTATTAGAGGAACCTTACACGCATAATCGTTCCATATTAGGAATTTACATTTCTTAATATGGTAGGGTGAAAATACCCAGTGCAATACCGCAAAATTATGGCACGCTGTAAATTATAGGGTTACGGTGACAGATGTATAATAATGATCATTACCTTTCATTCAAATATTCAATAATGATTGATCTGAGAGCTTCACGTGGTCTACGCCTATAATGCATGCACATGCCTTCAAGTGACATAGCAACTGTGATGCTTACTTATTAAAAAAATGAAAGGCTTGCTGATTGGATTGTGTTGAACTAGTTATCAATATTTGACTGAACTTGTGATTGTGATCTTATCACCTTATTGTTTCTGGATTGCTCAATTTACCAGTAATTTATAAAAAAAATTATTTATAAAACATTTCTAATAAATATAGCTTAATGCCCTTGACTGCACTTGCCAAACAGAGGAAGGTAACTGTTAACCACAATATTACGTAACTTTCAACCACCACCCAACCCCAACCTATAATTTCAAATCGTCCATCTACAATATCACACATTTGTGTTGAGATAGTGACCTGAGTGGACACAGTCATGATTCCGATTCGATGGGGCCTTTTACTGTACATTTCTTTCATGGTCGACACATAATCATCTGAAATGATTCTCGGTATAAACAGTTATGATATGAAACTACCGGTAATGTTCGTACACATGTACTTACCATGACTTGCAGGATTAGTCAACGAAACCAAAACAAGGTCACAGTATGTGAATGACCTGACAATCAACAACATGCGCAATGACCTCGCTTGACCCTGCGTAACCTCTCCAACATGGCTGCGCCCATGGCATAGTTGTGCGAATTGTTAACCAAAAAGTTACCGTGTTTGTATTTTTCCGTTACCAACCGTCGAGAGACAATTCTGACAGAAGTTATATACTTACTGGCATGTGTTTATAAAGCGAACCG